ATGACTTAAATAAATCAAACAGTAACTGTAATTACTACACAACAGAACAATCAAAGGCACTTCTCAGAGCCAACAACAACATAACTGTCTTTAACTACAATATCAGATCTTCAAGTAAACATTGCGATGACCTCATAGCATTACTAAATTCCCTGCATGCCAGTATATCAATCATTACTCTCACTGAAACCTGGCTAAAGTCTGATACTACAGGTGACTATGTCATTCCTGATTACACAGCCATACACAACTGTAGGCCAGATCAACAAGGGGGTGGCACAGCTATATACTACTCAGACCAACTAGAATGTATCACTAATACTTGCACAAGGGATGAACATGGGGAATATATAATAGCTAAATTCAAATCCAAATACCTACAAAAACCTCTCATAGTGATAAACATTTACAGAGTACCACAGTTAAACATTAGCCGTTTTAGTGAAAACCTAGGAAGTATAACTGATGCACGAATGAACAAAGAACACTTACTACTCTCAGGTGACTTCAGTATAAATCTCCTACAAGACCAGGACCCACAAATTACTGAATTCACAAACACTATGAGTAACTGCATGTTGCTACCAACAGTAACAAAACCTACAAGAGTTACAGAGACTAGTGTTTCCCTACTAGACCACATCTGGACCAACACCATATCCCCTTTAAAATCAGGCATAATCACAGATAATACCACAGATCACTACCTACCTTCCTCATAACAAATCTTGGCAAATTACCCCAAGACACTACTAAAGTCACCTTCAGACTTCACAATGAGGCAGCCATTAATAACTTCACAGCAGCAGTGACAAACATTGACTGGCACACTGAGCTAGAAATCTATACAGATATTGACGAATGTATTAATAATTTTCTAAAAAAGACCCAATACCTCTATAACAAGCACTGCCCCAAAAAAACTAAACAGATGACAGCTAAGAGACTGAACAGTCCCTGGCTAACACCCAGCATCCTCAAATCCATAAATACAAAGCACCTATACGAAAAACAGTACAGAATGGGTCACATAACCAGAGACCAAACAAAACGTTACTCATCAATCCTAACCAGCCTGATAAGAAGGGCTAAAAAATTGTATTATGAAAACAGATTATCCAACTTACGAGGTGATATAAAAAAAGACCTGGAAAACCCTATCAGAAATTCTAGGAACAAAAAAGATATCACGAAATAGTGAAACTGAATTAACAAAACCAGATGAACCCCAACTCCCACCAACTGAAACAGCAAACAGACTCAATAATTTCTTCTCCAGTATAGGAAAAAACCTTGCCAATAAAATCCCAAGCTCAGATACCCCACCAAATGACTACCTCACTGGCAACTACCCGAACACACTGTTCCTAGCTCCGACTAACCCTACTGAAGTCTCCCTTATTATCAACACACTAAAAAACAAGACAGGAGATTTAAATACCTTACCACCCTTTATATACAAAAAAGCGTCACAAGTGCTATCACCAATCATTGCAACACTAACAAATCCATAGAATCCTCTACCTTCCCTACAGTTCTCAAAATAGCAAGGGTCACCCCGATCCATGAAGGAGGAGACCAGACTTGAATAACTATAGGCCAATGTCCAACTTACACCCTCTCTCTAAAATCTTCGAAAAATTAATTCATAAGCGCATGTATTCCTACCTCATCTCCCACAACATACTCAACCCCTGTCAATTTGGGTTCAAGCCTAATAAAAATACCAATGATGCTATTATACACATGCTAGAACACATATACACTTCAATAGAGAAAAAAGAAGTCCCACTGGGGATCTTCATTGACTTACGTGAAGCTTTTGATACAGTTGACCATGACTTGCTCCACATAAAATTGTCACACTATGGTATAAGAGGGCACTCCCTCAACTACCTCAAGTCTTACCTCAGCAACAGAAGCCAATATGTGTACACAAACGGGGCAAACTCTTCCGCACAGCCAATTACAGTTGGAGTCCCACAGGGAAGTGTCCTAGGCCCTCTTCTCTTTCTCATATACATAAATGACCTACCAAATGCATCACAACTACTCAAACCCACACTATTTGCAGATGACACTACATACGTCTTCTCTCACCCGAGCCCAGTCACGCTAGCCAATACTGTAAATACCGAATTACATGAAATATCTTCCTGGATGAGGACTAACAAACTTACTCTAAAGATTGACAAAACCTTCTTCATTCAGTTTGGTAACAGAGCTACAGACGTCCCTCTTAACATAATGATAAACGGATCACCTATCACAAAACTCACAGAGGGAAAATTCATAGGAATCCACCTTGGTAATAGACTCAAATTTCAAACACATATACAACAAATTTCCAAAAAAAATTCCAAAACCGTAGGCATACTATCGAAGATACGGTACTATGTTCCACAGTCAGCCCTCCTGGCCCTATATCACTCACTTATTTACCTCTATCTCACCTATGATATTTGTTCATGGGGCTCAACAACAATAAACCATCTCATACCATTAATTACCCAACAAAAGGCTGCAGTCAGAATAACAAATTCCTACTACAGGCAGCACACTCCACTAATATTCAAAACTCTAAACCTACTCACCATACAAAACATCCATACATTTACTGCGCCTGCTACATACATAGAACACTGATATTAACCCTCCCCTCAAACGTCTCCTTACCAACCTCAACAGGACACGTGACCATAACACAAGGCACAGCTCACTCTTTGATGTTCCTCGTGTCCATCTCACGCTATGCAAAAACTCAATGCACATAAAAGGCCCTAAAATCTGGAATTCATTACCTGTGAATATAAAAGAAACACTGTTTATAAACTCAATTCTCTAATCAAAAATCACTTACCCACAACTAAATAAATACTGAAAAATTGTATCTCATAAATTGTATCTCATAAATTGAATCTCATAAATGTTTCTCATTATTGTATCTCATAAATGTCTAACCTGTGACCCAATCAAACTTTATTTTTTAATTATATTACCTAACAGAATACTCCATTCTACTGATTACACAGAAACACAGTAAATGACCATATGACCTGTCTTTGTAATACTCATTTGTGCTAAATGGTTATCTCTTTACAATAATGTTTTTACCACTGAATGTATCATTGCTTAGTTAATCTTAAGCTAATTTCAAGCCTGCCCATAATGCTCTGCAAACAAGGAGCTTTGGCATGCTGCACTTTAATAACTGTATTCCTTTGTACTTCTCTGTATCATGCTCAAATAAATAAATAAATAAATAAATTTAAATTATTATATATTATTTTTATATATTATATATATATTTTATATATATATATTTATAAAATATATATTATTTTATATATATTATATATATTTATTTTTTTTTAGTATCTGGAAGACCTGACTGCTTACTCTTGAAGCTGTTTTGGTGTTTCCCTCTACCGGGGCAAAACATTGTGTAACATTCATAATACAACTTTGAACAAGTTCCAAAAAGCTGGTAGAGGAAGCTAGTCTTGTATAGTTATGAAATGGGGTGATTTTTTATGTTAGCTAGCCTTGTATGTCCCTGAAAGAAAAGGTGATTTTTTTTTTATGAGGTTAGCTAGTTTTTTAGATGTTAATGAAGTGAAGGGTGATTTTTTGTGGGGTTAGTCCTGTAAATGTCAGTAAAGTAAAGGTGATGTTTGTGATTTTTGTTAGTACTGTAAATGTCAGTAAAGTGAAGGTGATTTTTTGTGGGTTAGTTAGTACAGTAAATGTCAGTAAAGGAAGGTGATGTTTGTGGTTTCCTGTAAATGTCAGTAAAAGTGAAGGTGATGCTTTGAGGTTAGTTAGTCCTGAAAAATTTCAGTAAAGTAAAGGGTGATGCTTGTGGGGTTATTTTTAGCCTGTAAATGTCCTAAATAAGGTGTATTTGTGAGGGGGTTAGTCCTGAAAGTCAGTAAAAAAAGGTGATGTTTGTGGGGTTTGTTAGTCCTGTAAATGTCAGTAAAGTAAAGGGGGATTTTGTGAGATTAGTTACCCCTTAAAGTGTCAGAAAAGGGGAAAGGGTAGTTTGTGGGTTAGCCCCCCTGTAAATGCAGTAAGTGAAGGTGATTTTTGTGAGGTTAGTCCTGTAAATGTCAGTAAAGTAAAGGTGTGTTTGTGGGTTTTTTTTAGCCCTGTAAATGCAGTAAAGGAAGGTGATGTAGGTTAGCTAGTCCTGTAAATTCATAAAGTGAAGGTGAGTTTGTGAGGTTAGTAGGTCCTGAAAGTCAGAAAAGTGAAGGTGATTTTTGTGAGGTTAGCCCCTGTAAATGTCTTAAAGTAAGGTGATTTTGTAGGTTATTATCCTGTAAAATCAGAAAGTGAAGGTGATGTTTGTAGGTTAGTAGGTTTTGTAAATGTCAGTAAAGTAAAGGGTGATGTTTGTGGGGTTAGTCCTGTAAATACAAAAGTGAAGGTGATTTTGTGGGGTTTAGTAACCCTGTAAATGTCAGTAAAGTGAAGGTGATTTTTGTGGGTTAGTAGGTCCTGTAAATGCATAAAGTAAAGGGTGATGTTGTGAGGTTGTCCGAAAAATGTCATAAAGTGAAGGTGATTTTTTGTGAGGTTATTGTCCTGTAAAATGTCTTTAAAAGTGAAGGGATTTTAAGGTTATTTAGTCCTGTAAATACAGGAAAGTAAAGGGTGATTTGTGAGTTAGTGGTTCTGTAAATGTCAGTAAAGTGAAAGTGATTTTGTGAGGTTATTTTTAGTCCTGTAAATGTAGAAAAGTAAAGGGGATGTTTTGAGGTTTGCCCTGAAAATGTCAGTAAAGTGAAGGTGATGTTGGGGGTTAGTTATCCTGTAAATGTCAGTAAAGTAAGGTGTTTTTTGGGTTTGTTATCCTGAAAATGTATAAAGTAAGGTATTTTTGTGAGGTTAGTTAGTCCTATAAATGTCAAAAAGTGAAGGTGATTTTTTGTGATTTAGGGTCCTGTAAATTCAGTAAAGTAAGGGTGATGTTGTAGGTTAGTTTGCCCCTGAAAATGTCAGAAAAAGTAAAGGTGATTTTTGAGGTTACCCCTGAAAATGTCAGTAAAGTGAAGGTGATTTGTGGGGTTAGTTAGCCCGTAAATGTCATAAAGTGAAGGTGGTGTTTGTGAGGTTAGTTAGTCCTTTAAAATGCGTGAAGTGAAGGGTGATGTTTCTGGGGTTTAGTCCTGTAAATTCAGAAAAGTGAAGGTGTGTTTGTGAGGTTATTAGTCCTGAAAAAAGTCAGTAAAGTAAAGGGGTTATGTTTGTGGGGTTATTTAGCCCGTAAAGTCAGTAAAGTGAAGGTGTGTTTGTAGGTTAGTTAGTCCTGTAAATGTCAGTAAAAAAAGGGTGATTTTTGTGAGGTTGCCCCTGAAATGTCAGTAAAGTGAAGGTGATGTTTGTGAGGTTAGTTAGTCCTGAAAATTCAGTAAGTGAAGGTGGTTTTGTGAGGTTAGTTAGTCCTTAAATGTCAGTGAAGTAAAAGGTGATGTTTTGAAATGCTAGTAAGGTGTTGACTTTTTTCGAAAATTTGAGAATATAATGGAAGTCCCTTGGAAACCCAGACATTCTTGTGTTAAAATCACTCCCAAGAACATAATATCAATGAGAAAAGATCCCGTAACATATTTCTAAAGTGCTTGAAATTTTTGATTTATTTTTTGGCAAAGACTAAAGAAAAATGGAATGAGAAAAAAGATCAGTGAGGTGTCAGCACAGTAACCCATTTAGCAGCTAGCACGGGTCACTTAGGTGGGCACACAGTACCAATTTAGCACTGACGAGTCAGTGAGGTTAGCCAGTACCCATGTTAGCAGCACGGGTCATGAGATTCAGCACAGTACCCCTGTTAGCAGCTAGCACGGGTCACTGAGGGGTCAGCACTAACCATGTTACGCTAGCAGGTCTTTGAGGTGCTGCACAGTACCCCCTGTTAGCACATTACATCCCAGGAGTCCAAAGGCCTGTTATCCTGGGTGTAAAGGGGGCAAAATAAATACATCAGAAAACTTTTTACTTACATTATCGTTTTCCCCAAATTTTAAACAGAAGTATGTACACTATAAACCCATGTACAACAATAATATTAGTGCACCCATGGTAAGCAAAGCAAAATAGAAGCCCTAAAGAGCAACGTGCTTTAACCGCTCTAGAATGGTAATGACAAAAGGCAACAGGGGGTGGGACCCACATAACCCTCGATTGCCAAAACCATCCTCTATTGGTGGAACCTGGTCTGGTTGAACGACGGGGCCCCCCCGCCAACCCTTTGTTCCCCTGTGCGCTGGTTGGGGGGGATCCCTGAAATGAGGGTGTGTACATGTGCCGAATAAAAGGTTTTGTAATCTTTGATGCCACACCCCCACCCCGAGAGAGCTCAGGATTAGGCTTCCACCTCCCCCGTGGGAGGGGGGAGCCCAAACACTAAAAATTTGACGAGACAGCAGACAGCAGGCTAACTTAGGCCAACACAAGGGGAGACGGGAGCCCCCATCCCCTCATAAAAAAAAAAAAACCCCCACAAGGGGACAAAAAATAAGGGGCTTGAAAGAGGTTTCCACAATAACCCAACACACCCAACCTAAAATACAATTATAATTATAATGTATTATAAAAATATTGTTAGACCTAAATAAAAAAATCTGCCACATATTTTTTTTGCCGGGAATATGTAAATTTTTTAAAAGAAATTTTTTGCAAATCGTAACTCCATCTCATGCCTCGTATTGTGGTTCTTCATGGCTTGGAGATATACTAGAGGGTTGTGGTCACTATAGGGAGTCACCACCTGCGAAGTCTGGCCCACGTAAACATCAAAGTGCTCCAAAGCCAGTACCAGCGCGAGGGTTTCTTTTTCAGTGGTAGAGTAAGCCCTCTGATGCGGCTGGAACTTGGCAGAGAAGAAGGCTACAGGCTGCAACTCCTCAACTGCCCCAACCCCAGACTCACAAGCATCAACCTGTAATGAGAAAGGTTTGGAGAAGTCTGGAGACAAAAGAATGGGTGCAGAACATAATAATCTTTTTGCTTTATCAAAAGCAGCTTGAGAAACTGAAGCCCAAATAAATGGAACTTTGTGACTTCTAAGAGAGGTAAGAGGGGCTGCAACATCAGAAAAATTCTTACATAATCTTCTGTAAAATCCTATCATGCCTAGGAAACGTTGGAGAGATTTCCTATCATGTGGAACTGGATAATCTTTAATGGCAAGAACTTTAGCAAATTTAGGAGCAACTTTACCACTACCTACTTTATGGCCTAGAAAAGTAACAATGGCCTGGCTAAAGAAAGTCTTAGATAAATTAACAGTTAAATGGGAACTCTGAAAGGTCTCAAAGAGAGCCTTAAGCCTAAATAGGTGTTGATCCCAGTATCAGACACCACAACAATATCATCCGGTACGCTGCCGTGCCTTTAAGTCCTTTAATAGCCTGATGGATAAGTTTCTGGAATGAAGAGGGGGAGTTTTTCATTCCGAAGGGAGTAACTGTATATTGATGATGACCTCCTGGAATTACGAAGGCAGAGATTTCCTTCGCCTTATCCGTCAAAGGTACCTGATAGTAACCTTTAAGGAGATCTAACTTGAACACAAAAGTAGCCTTACCCACAAAGTGATTACGTCATCCAGACGAGGAAGGGGTAAGCATCTGTGATTGTGACCTCATTCACCTTACGATAGTCTGTACACATACGAAAACCTCCATCAGCTTTTTTAACAAGGATGCGCAGTGAAGCCCATGGACTAGATGACTCCTCCACTAACCCATGCTCTAACAGAAATTCTACTGCTGCTGAAGTAGCTTCTGCTTTTCAGGATTAGCCTGTAAATGAGGGTGTGTACATGCGCCGAATAAAGGTTACGTACACTTTGCATGCCAAAGCAGCTAGCACGGGTCAGTGAGGTGTCACCACAGTACCCATCTTAGCAGCTAGCACGGGTCACTGATGTATCAGCACAGTACCCATGTTAGCAGCTAACACGGGTCAGTGAGGTGTAAGCACAGTACCCATGTTAGTAGCTAGCACGGGTCAGTGATGTGTCAGCACAGTACCCATGTTAGCAGCTAACACAGGTCAGTGAGGTGTCAGCACAGTACCCTCGTCAGCAACAAACACAAGTCAGTGAGATGCCAGCACAAGTATCAATGTTAGCAGGTAGCTAACATGTGAGGTGTCAGTGCAGTACCCTCGTCAGCAACAAGCATGGGTCAGTGAGGTGTCAGCACAATACCCTCGTCAGCAACAAGCACAAGTCAATGAGGTATCAGCACAGTACCCACGTCAGCAGCTAGCACGGGTGAGTGAGGTGTCGGCACAGTACCCATGTCAGCAACAAGCACGGGACAATGAGGTGTCAGCACAGTACCCTCGTCAGCAACAAGCACAAGTCAGTGAGGTGTCATCACAATACCCATGTCAGCAGCTTGCACGGGGCAGTGAGGTGTCAGCACAGTACGCACACAAATGCGCTTTTGTCGTATTTGTTATAACAACATGTTCCTATGCCACCACGACTGCATTCGTGAGTCGTGCTTCATAGTCTAATCTTCTTTACAGTGTACATAAACGATTGAGGCCTAACATCTAAGAAAAAGCAAAATTTACGGAAGACACCAAATTAAAAAAAAATGTAGTCTGTAAAGCACATATGATTTGAGTATTTAGATTGTTCTAGACAAGTTAGCGCAGTGGTTGGAGACATGGAAGATGAATTTCTACGTAAAGTGCAAAATAGTGCATATTAGTTGCAGCAGTCTCAAACATGAATTAAAATGTTTAAAACTAAAGTAACAGAGACAAACAGAGAAAAGTACAAGGTAATGTTAAGCTGCATGCGAAGCTAATTTAAGTCTGGGTTGCATAGCTGAAAACGTTTGAACATAAAGCACCAGACGCCATGTGGAGAACTGGACTGATAAGTACACACTCCTGCATGAAACAAACAAGACAAGCGTTACTTATCTTTTAACAACACGATGTCCAGCAGCCTCTCCTGGAAATCCCTTCGGGATGCCGTTCAGATTTCACAGTGGCTGTTGATTAACAAGTGTCTTCGAAATCAATTTGCCCAAAGGAGCGTATATCTTTGCATTTCACTCTCATCTTAAATGCATAGTGATACTTACTTGGGTTTGGGTGAAAAACCCACATGTCATGGGATCTATTGGTAATTCTAGTCAAACTCACCCCTACCTATTAGCTGCAGCTAATGTAATTAGGTGCGGATATGGCTGGACTTACCTGGGTATTGTAACTGACCCTTTTTTCCTAGTTTGTTGTAGTAGAAGTATATCCGGTATCGTTTCTTGAATAGGCTGCCACAGATGCGTAAAGCCCCTCACTTATTGCTAGGGAACCACTTTGATCAGTTTTTTATGCGACAGGGTGATAACTTTTACACTTTATCGGGATTATTCAGGGGGAATTACACACTCGTGTTTTTTTTTAACAGTGTTTTCCTAGCGGAGATTGACAATATTTCAGAGCATACAGCACAAAGTCATTTTTTTCTTTGTTCTCGCGGGAAAATTTGTGATGTGTTCATGTTCTCAATGTCTGAATTCAACATACCCGTCACCTGCCCAAACGCTTACCAGTCACCCTCTGCACAAAAGAATTGCCGAGTTCAACTTTATATCTCTTCCTTACTACACATTGCAAAAAAGTATTCAATACAAGTGGGTAAGTATTTTGTTTCTAGTAGACTAGAATTCCTAATAGTCCCCAGTTGTAGATAAAGTGGGGTGCTATAGAGAAAAGAGTAATTACTCCATTTAACCTTGTTGTGTAGCAAGGAGAGAAAAGGGATGCCTCGTGATGCTATGGTACATACATATGGTTTCAATAAAGCTGTTTACGAGGAAGGAAGAGTGCACTAGTCCCTTCCAGAAGAGCTAAGTCCCTAATAGGGTAAGGGGGGGTGAGAGGGCTGAGAGATACCTCTTTTTACTAGAGAAAATTTTTTCCACATGCCCTTGACTATTGTGCACTTCTTAGACCGTATCTTAAATAGTCGTTCGGTTTTGGTATCCAGATTGCATAAAAGAGGAAAAATATACTGGAGAGGATGTAGAGGAACAGCCTCAAGAAAAATTGCTAATTGATAAGAAACTAAGAGGCTAAAAAGTTCTGCCAGAATTTTACCAGAAATAAGTATACTTTCTGCTAATATTTTTAACGACGAAGACAATGCAGTCATTTAAGAATCAGTTGGATAAACACTTTACAACTACGGGAACAATAAATACATGTACCTTAAAAAGGGAAGAGTTGGCCAGAATCACCTGGACCCATTATAAAACCTACCATTAACATTGCTAGTTCAGTATACATTGTCTGATAAAAAGAAAAAAAAAGTGATAATATGTTAGAGCAACAATCATTTACTAAACTCATCGCTAAAACCACATTAACACTTCCGTGGATCTTTATATATACATCAGTGGGTTGGACAATCTGATGAAGCCATCAGATTTAATGATTTTTTTTTTCGCGACTACTAGACAGTTCACTATTAAAACTAAGTCTCATAAATAATAGTGGTGGAGTAGAAATAGACGGTTGTGGTGTCATTAGCACAAAAAGTTTTTGAGTGGAGTTAATTACGAGTTGTTATAGGTAATAACAGTACTAATTGAGAGGTTTGTAACCCAAGTCTTCCATTCACTTCCATTGCTGTGAAGATTCATGCAATTTTTCCGAAATTATATGATATATTTTCATCGTTTCATTCCGTATCTTGGACTCATAAACACATAGATAATACACCTTGAAGTTTTATTCAAAGATAAAACTAGACAGGGTTAGTCGGGAAAAAAAAGCCTCTGTATCTGTAAGGTCTTACCAAACTCTCTTCTGGTTTTTCTTATTTAGCTCATATACTTTTCCACACCGTTTCTGACTTTTCCGGACCCTCTCTGATAGGATGCTTCCACCAGATTTTTTTTCTATATGCCAGTAAAGCAGCCGAAAGTACGAGACTATAATAAATGTCAGCAAATCTGTCCTATTATCAAAAACCTAACAGTTATTTTTATGCTAAGAATGATGGGGGTGTGAGTTGTAATTAGTTTTGAATTACCAAAATCTTAACAACTTGAATGCAAACAAATCACAGATGGGTATGGGGGGGGGGTCTTGAAAACCCATGACAGGTGAGTCCAATACCTCACAGGACTCTCCTCATTCGGAATTCGAATCCCCCCCCACTTTCTGTGATTTATGCGTGTTATTGATGTTATGTAGTCTAAATATTTGTCCCATTTGTAAACTGTTGGTATCATACCTGTTGCTGTTGAACAGTCATCCTCAGTTTTATTCCTGTTTTGTGACAGCCATTCCTTCCTCAAACGATTGTGCACAGAGTGTATTTACTGAACGCACTCAGTAAATATACTGCTTTATAATCATTCTAATGTTAAAGATGACACTTTAATCCTCCTTAGCTTGGGTGGTCTAAACAGCATCACCATTTCTTAGGTTCGACGTCTTTAGTTAGGTACTTCACTGCTTGACTGTGATGAAACTGTTCCCGCCTCCCTCAACAGTGTGTAACTTGCTGCTTTTTGTCTGTGCACAAAAAACATTTCCATATTGCTAGGTTTAGTACCTTGGCTGGAGAACTGTAATGGTTTTTAAATTAACACTATTCTACTGTTATTCTCTATGGGTATTCACCCATAATTGTGATCTATAATGCCTGTCATTCTTGATATTTACAGGAGTGTTACTGGAGAGTAGTTCGGGGGTTCAAAAGCGCCCGCGGCCCGGGCTGTGACCAGGCCTCCTATATATATCGGTATTTTGCTCACAACTATTTCAATGGCCTTTATTACAGTCTTAAGTATATCAGTGTACCCATCCTTCCCTTTCTGGTATTTGTTAGGCATGTGAAGTAGGATTGCTCTTTTCTTAACACTGATTGCACTCTGTGTTAATTTGCAGTAATTTCTCTTAGGAATTCCATCTCATCACTTGCTCACGATGATTTCCCATCATCAAACTTTTGTTTTTAGATAATTGGAATTGAATTAATCATCTCAGGTCCTTAGAAGTTCTTTAGTGGTTAGTGTTTCAATGAAGATTTGAGCAAATGACGACAAGGATTCAGGCATTTCGCTTGCTTTTGTTGTTGTCCAGTTTCTCTGAGGGTTTACGTTACTTCCTCGAATGTTCTTCCGACATTTCCCTAAAGTTAAACATTCGGTTCCATGAAATGATGCCTCTAAACTTTTTTTCATCTCACATTAATTAAAAAAAAAAAGAATTATATTAACAACTCCGGCGTTTCCCACCAAGGCAGGATTGGCCCGGGACGACAAAGAAAAAAACTTTCATCATTCATTCCTTCTCACTGTTTTACCAGAGGCGCGCTTTACACTATGTGCAAAGGTGGGGGAATGGAGGTAAATTACCCCAAAATGAGGGTATAAATGACAAATTTATTATTTATAATTTCTTATTTAATAAACGAGGCAAATTTTACCAGTGTTATATTTTTTCAAATAAATTAATTTGTAGTTTCTTTTATTAAATTAAAAAATTAATTTGTAGACCCCTTCTTAAGTTTGGCATAACCGGTAAAAAACTGGTAAGGACTACATGTGCAGCAGCCGACAAAACACTGAGAGTAGCAGTGACTCGGGAGCCGGCACGTCAACGGCAAGTCCCTATTGTTGGACACACCGTCACCTACATTTGGCCTGTGTCATATTCGCTATCAAAATTTTCTCTGCTTGGGAGTTACAGGGCCATCTTTCGAAACTCAGAAAGCAGTAGTTCTCTGATTATTTCCAGATCTTAATTCACATACTGTGAGTTGGGTGTTGTGAATCCTTTTCAAGTGTGACAATTGCTGATGTTGCCCAGATAGAGCCTGAAGGTATTGGAGATGCACTTCTTGAACTTCCTCCAACAATGAAGCAGGCAGTGAGTCTCAAAACAATAAAGACCCATCCATTTTTTGGAGGATTAAGAACTGCAAGTGGCTTTTCATTATTGCACAAAAGGAAGCAATAGAATACTGCTGCAATTTGCAACTACCCCATCTTGCCAACAAGGCTTTTCCACTCTCACTAACTAGAAAACAAATTTCAGAAATAGACGAATGCCTTATTGCCTGACATCTAAAACCCTAATTATGTGTCGCTCTCGCCTCCTTATCAAAAAAGCTAGAGGAAACTTCATTGCTTCAAAACCTGAAGTGAAAATGTTTTTCGTGAAATTCTTCAGTCCTTTATGATATTTTTAGTAAATTTGTCTGTTACTATTTTTTATTCTTGCTGTTTATCTTTTCATTTTATTCTATGTATTTTGTGGTTTTATTTGTAAAGTCCTTTTATCACATATAAATGAATACTTTCAGTTGTAGATCATTCTCCACACATATGCATGCAATAATATTTTGAATCCGAATGCTCCTTGTGATTGTCTGGAT